CCATCGACCTCATAATCATGAATCAGTTCAATACCGCTGCGGCGCGTAGCCCGAACCCATAATAACCTCACAACACAGGCCCTCGGCCCTACTTAGTCAGAAATCTCTAAAAGCCACTCGGGCACAGTAAAATATGATGCTCAGCCCAAAATATCATTTAAAGTGTTAAAAATAGAGTAAACATGGCTGAGTTATGAAAATAATATAATATAGCATGATTGAGTACAGATATAAAAATCAGAACAGTGAGAAAATAGCAGTAAAAATCCCCTAAGGGTCCAAATAGTTGGCACGAGGCCCAAATATGGCATGCGGCCCAAAACATGATGATAGCAAACAATTTTCAAACAAATACGCGGTAAAACAGTCATTGGGGATGGACTAAATCACAATCCCCAACGGTGCATGACCCCACGCTCATCATCTAGCGTGTGTGTCACCTCAATATAGCACAACGATGTGAAATTCGGGGTTTTATACCCTCAGGACAACATTTACAATCATTACTCATCTCTATCCGATCCGAACTCTAGCCTGCGATGCCCTTGCCTCTCGAATTGCCTCAGGATGCTCCAAATCTAACCAAAATCAATGCAAAACCATCAAAATATTCTAAGGGAACAAGGCCCACTCGAAAGAAATCAAATTACAACACAAATTCTGATATTGGCCAAACCCGAGCCCCGGGCCCACATCTTGGATTCCGATAAAAATTACATCAATAGACTCCTTATCACTCCCCGAGTTTATTCATATCAAAATCACCAAAATCCAACCACAAATGATCCCTCAAATCCGTAATTTTAGATCTCCAATTAAAAGTCCTAGTTCTTCAATATTATGCTTAAGTTTCATGATTAATTAGGTAGAAAACACATTAGGATTGAGTATTAAGTTCATAAATCTTACCTCCAAGCATTCCCCCTTGATTCCCTCTTCAATTCACTTCAAAAAGCTTCAAAATCGCCCAAAAATGTAGGAACTTAGACCCAAAATCGCGAAAATGGTCTTTTAAACATTCTGCCCAGGCATTCAAATCCTTCTACGCGAACGCGGTCAACCTTTTGCGTTCACGAAGCACAAACTTAGGTTGACCAGAAGTTCCTCTTACGTGAACGCGATCACCCCTCGCGAACGCGATGCCTCAACATTCAACCCTTCGCGGACGCGACATCAACCTCGCGAACACGATGACTGACAAGCTCAACCCTTCACAATCGTGGGACCTCCTTCGCGAACGCGAAGGCCAATTGTCTGCAACACCCAACAACAGATTTCTGCAATCTTTTTTCAGCATGAAATGGTCCGTTTAACCACCCAAAACTCACCCGAGGCCCTCGGGACCTCAACCAAACATGCCAACATATCCCATAACATCATTCAAACTTGTTCCAACCTTCGGAAGGCTCAAAACAACATCAAAACACCAAAGTCGCATCGGATTCAAGATTAAGAATTCCAAAATCTTCTAAATTCCGCTTTCGATCAAAAAGTCTATCAAACCACGACCGAATGACCTAAAATTTTGCACAGACATCCCAAATGACACAACGGACCTACTGCAACTTCCGAAATTCCATTCCGACCCCTATATCAAAATCTCACTTATCAACCGGAAAATGCCAAAATTCCAATTTCGCCAATTCTAGCCTAAATCTACTTTGTACCTCCAAAACATATTCCGATCACGCTCCTAAGTCCAAATTAAATCACGAAGCTATCCGAACCATCGGAACTCACATCCGAGCTCTTTAACACATAAGTCAACATCCAGTTGACTTTTCTAACTTAAACTTCCTCAAAAGAGACTAAGTGTCTCAAACCTTACCAAAACTTCTCCGAACCCAAGCCAACTAACCCGGTAACACAAAATACAGCCAAACAAGGCAATAATAAGCAAAAATGGGGGAAATAAAGCGGTAACTCATGAAACGACCGGCCGGGTCGTTAGATCCTCCCCCTCTTAAACAAACGTTCATCCTCAAACGAGTCAAGAAACATACCTGAAGCCTCAAACAGGTGAGGATATCTGCTCCGCATCTCCCACTAGGTCTCCCAGGTAGCCTCCTTCATGGGCCGACCTCTCCATTGCAGGGTGAAAAGCTGTGCTCAACTCAACCTGAGTACCCAACTATCGCTGCACAGACCTCCAAAACTGTGAAGTAAACTGAGTGCCCTATCTGAAATGATGGAAACTGGGACACCATGCAAACGAACCATCTCCCGGATATAAATCTCTACCAACCACTCTGAAAAATAGGTAGTACACACAGGAATGAAGTGCGCGGACTTGGTCAGCTGATCCATAATCACCCAAATAGCACGAACTTCTTCAAAGTCTGTGGGAGCCCAACTACAAAGTCCATGGTGATCCGCTCCCACTTCCACTCTAGAATATCCATCTGCTGAAGCAAGCCACTCGGTCTCTGATGCTCATATTTCATCTGCTGACAATTGTGACACCGAGCTACAAATCTCACTATGTCCTTCTTCATTCTCCTCCACACACCCAATACCAACTCTCGAAGCATCACAATACACGGTATATGAACTTAAAACTGATGGCAAAACTAACACTGGAGTTGTGGTCAAGGCAGTCTTGAGCTTCTGAAAGCTCTCCTCACACTCATCTGACCACCTGAATAAAGCACCCTTTTGAGTCAACTTGGTCAAGGGCGATGCGATAGATGAGAATCCCTAAACAAACCAGCGGTAATAACCCGCCAAACTAAGAAAGCTGCGAATCTATGTGGCTGAGGACGGTCTGGGCCAACTCTGAACCGCATCTATCTTCTTCAGATCAACCTGAATACCCTCGCTGGACACCACGTGCCCCAAGAAATCCACTAAACTGATCCAAGACTCACACTTATAGAACTTTGCATAAAGCCTCCCTCAATCTTTGCAATACAACTCTCAAATGCTCTGCATGCTCCTCTTGACTACATGAGTACACTAGAATATCATCAATGAAAACTATGACAAATGAGTCGAGATAAGGCCGGAACACGCTGTTCATTAAATGCATTAACGCTACTAGGGCATTGGTCAGCCCAAAAGACATCACCAGGAACTCATAATGACCATATCGGGTCCTGAAAGCAGTCTTAAGAATATTTGAGTCTCTGATCTTCAACTGGTGATAACCTGAACGGAGATCAATCTTAGAAAACACCGTCGCTCCCTAGAGCTGGTCGAATAAATCATCAATGCAAGGCAAAGGATACTTGTTCTTAACTATTACTTTGTTCAACTGCCTATAATCAATTAACATCCTCATAGTGCCATCCTTCTTCTTCACAAATAGAACTGGCGCACCCCAAGGCGACACACTAGGCCAAACAAATACCTTATCAAAGAGTTCCTGAAGTTGCTCCTTCAACTCCAACTCTGTTGGTGCCATATAATTCGATGGAATAGAAATGGGCTGAGTGCCTGACACCAGGTCAATACCAAAATCAGTATCCCTGTCCGGTGGCATGCCCGACAGAACTACAGGAAACACATCGGGAAAATCCCTCACAATTGGAACAGAATCAATACTAGGAGCCTCTGCACCGGCATCCCTCACAAAGGCTAAATACGAAAGACAAGAATGAAATTACCCTACTGGGAACGTAATCAGTCAAACCTCGCCACTCAATCCGTGGCACACCCGGCATAGCTAATGTCACTGTCTTAGCATGACAGTCCAGAATAGCACGACACAGAGATAGCCAATCCATGCCCAAAATAACATCAAAATCCACCATACATAACAACAAAAGATCCATTCGGGTCTTCAGACCCCCCAATAGTCACCACACATGACTGGTACACACGGTCTACAACAATAGTATCACCCACCGGAGTAGATACATGAACAGGTGAAATAAGAGACTCACCGGGCATATCCAAATAATGAACAAAGTATGATGACACATAGGAATAAGTGGAACCGGGATCAAATAATACAGAGACATCTCTGTGGCAGAATGAAATAATACCTGTAATAACAGCATCGGAAGCAATAGCATTGGGTCTAACTGGAAGTGCATAGAAACGGGCCTGACCGCCACCTGATCGACCTCCCCCTCTAGGGCGACCCCTAACTGACTGACCTCCACCCCTAGCTGGGTGGGTGGTGGTGGTGAAGTAACCGGCGCTAAAGCCGATGGCTGACTCCTCTGCTGAGATGAACCCGCAAGACGACGAGGACACTGGCTCCACATATGACCCATCTATCCACACTCATTGCAACTCTCGGGTGTTGGAGACAAGGACTAAAGGGAACCCTAGCATCGGAATGACTAGCAGATGCACCTAGCTAGAAGAGCCCCGAACTGATGGAGCACGGGATGAACTCTGAGCTGGAAGGGCACTGAGTGATGACTGGCCCTGATTAGTGTTATACCCCATTTTAACACGGGTCAAATTAGAGTATAACATATTGATAATTCTAGGGGTTTAATTAATTAAAAAGAGCCGCCACCTAATTGGTTTAATGGTGAATTAGGACACCAATTTAGCTAAATAATGCTTAACTCGGTCTGCTTAACCTTAAGATTATGGGTAAGGATTCTAATTAATCCTATAGGGAAGGTTGTAAAAGCACTCTATATGACCCAATAACTACGGTTAACCCGTCAAACTTAGGTTAATTAATTTAAGATCTTAGAATAAATCAGATGTATGCCTAACGATTAAAGTATATATATACATATCCAATAGCTAAAAATAATTTGATGGAAAAGACTGACGTTAGATGACTTCTTTTAACTTATTCAAAATTCATTCTTAAAGGAAAAGTTTTCCAGTTGCTTAAAGGGAAGCAATTCTCATAAATAAAAATTATTTAGCTAGAATTAAACATCTTCATTCGAAACCTTCAACTTAACGGAATTAGAAATGGGCTTGACAAGAAGTTATTGGAAAGCCATCATTTTAACAAATTGACCTCTTAAAAAAGTGTTAGAGGTATAACATTAAGCTTATTAGAAAATGCTTATACCAATAGCAAATAGATAAAAAGGTTAATAAATTAGCGATCTTAAATTCCTAAAGATTATATGATCAGTGAAACTAGATGATTAAACCTCAAACTAAAATAAACTCAAAATATAGAAATAAATTAACAATCATAAAGATAGATAAAATGACTAGCAAAAGAAATAAAAGGACATCATAGGCGCCCCAAGCGTTTCGCTTGTTTTTCTTGTTATCCGGTGACTTTAGAAGTTGATATGTGATGACTCCATGCTCGCGAATGGGAGAGTCTTGCATTAAGACTCATATTGCTCCAAAGTGCATATGCAAATCAAAGAAAGAGAAAATCAAGAAATTAGAAAGAGAGGAGTTAGAAATAGACTTGGACAAAATTTACAGCAAGATTTATGGTCTTTATACATGTTTTCTAACAGAAATAATAACTCAGAATATTAACTTTCCATGTTCATGTGAAATCTAAAGGGTCGAACAGATTAATATGGTGAACATAATCCTTGACACTTTGAACAACATGGTTACCCACTTCCATGTTAAGTCTTAAAATTGGATATTAAAGTCCTAGTAGCATGCTTTCTAAAGGAAATGCCGAAGCAGCAGCAGACCTTTTTAAGACAACTAATACGCATGATATCATTTAACACACAAAGCACATACTTTCTTACTGTATTTCAAGTAATATCCTAATGGCACACTCGATAGTAACAGTAAGGAAGGAAAATAATTTAAAAGGTTCATCAATGTCAAACTCCTCTTAACTTCTATTGTTCTTCGACACCAAACGTGCTTCTGCTATGAGAGATTAAGATATATATTTTTTATTTATTAAATAAATCAGAAAATATATTAACATATTTCTGGCATGAAAATCTAGAAGAAACTTTTACAACTAGCAAAGACACCTTACTTTGAATAGCTAAACGAGCTTCTACTTCGTATGAGGCAACTTAAGGCAGAATTTTTCTTTAAACAAATGATAAAAAGTCACAATACATGGTTTCTACATGATCTTTGAATAAGGACAAATAAATATATCTGTGCAACAGTTCACAGTGACTTTCACCAAGCAAAATAACAGTAACTTGCTATTGATATCACTTTAGACATAACATCGAATCGTGTTTCTAACGAAGCTTCTTGACATGATATTATCTATTCAATAGCCAAACAAACTAAATTAAGTAAAGTAGTTAGGTCGTCTTGCTATTTAGCACAAAGAATAAAACATGGTTTGGCCAGCATATTAATCATGTTTAAGAATTTAAAATAAAAGAAAAAGGAGAAAGTGCTGACCTCTATCGGGGCAGTAAACTAAGGCGGCTGTCTAGGATTTACTCCTTTCTCACCGAAGCCGAAGGTTTATGAAACTACAAAGAGGGGCTAAAGCTTTTATGAAATTTCTAGCTAAACGAATAGTAAAATTTGAGGGGTAAAGTTGTGGCCTCCAACCTCTATCCAGATGGACTCCAAGTGCTGGTTTTTATACGTGAAAAACTAGAGTTCTTGATTTGGGTTTGAAATTCAGATTTTCCCCAAAAGAGATGAAATGGAGCCGTTTGAATTTTAACGTTGGGGATTCTGGACGAACTCAGCAGAGCTTTTTGATTTTTTGCAGAGAGTTACCCAAAATGGTAAGGCTTCTCTTGTAGCCTTCAAAATTTGGAATGTTGTGCAGCAAGAAAAGTGAAAAATGGAGAACCTCCATGTGAGCAAAGAGAGAGAAAAGAAGGTTTGCTAATTCAGACTTCTGGGAGTGGATTTGAGGCGAGAATTCATTGTAATTAAATGTTGAATTCTTGAGATCCAAAATAAGGGAATATAAAAGATAATTCAATTTCATAGAATGATCTAGAATATGATATTGGGCTAATGTTTGGTCTGCTTTAACTGTTTGGAGATGGCTTTTGGCCGAATTGGGCCTTCATTTTGGGGCTCAGTTCAGATGGGGTTGATTAGGCAAATTTTTGGATAGCTGAATTGAATACTTGGGCTTATGAGTAGGCCAAAATAAAATAATGTTCTCCCATCTTAAAATTTAATTCTTTGAGTTTCTAATTTATTCCAAAATATCCTATTACCTACATTATATAATAAGATGTAAATATGCCTTAATAAAATTATTAGCATTTGTAGAAAAATAGTAGACTAATTGTTAAGTAAAATTTATAATGCAATTAGAGCAAATATATATATAAACGGTAGGATTAGGGAAAATATTACTATTTGGTTGAATAAAAGAAATGATATGCTTTTCGCAAAAGACAGTAAAAGTTATAATTAGAATGTCAAATATAATAATAATAAAAATAAAATAATAATAATAATAATAATAATAATATTAATACTAGTAATAGTGATATTAAGTAAATAATAATAATTAGGTCTAGTTGGTGCGAAAAATGGTAAAATAACTATTCTTACATTATTAGTGATATTAGAAGCTTAAAGAAATAGTTTGGAAGAAAGTAGAGACAAAATTGGATGTCAACAGCAGCCCCTCTTTAAGTAGCCAATTTAGTAGCCAATGAAAGAGTTTTCGGGCAAAGAATATTGACTTAGTAGCCAATTTTGTCCCGACCATCAAGATCGGAGTCGGACAAAGGGGACATAAAAAAAATTAATTGCGGCCGAAGTTCGGTTTCGAGTTGCCTACATATCTCGGGTTTCACAAGAATCAGGTCATATGTAGTTCAAGACTTATGGTACCCTAGAGTAGAACTCACTTATTGATGTGGATCCTAAAATGCCGCCCCAGTGTCGAATAATAGAGACATTGGGTACCATGATTGAAAGAAAGATGTTGGAAATAAGAATTTGATTATGAATTTTGAGTGTCGAGCTGAGCGGAGTTTGAAGTAGATCCTTGACCTTTGTTGGAGAGTTTGGTATTCCTCTCCAACAAATTGCCCCAGTACACTGCTAAGATATAGTTCCACGTTGTGTTATGTTTTCTGCAAAGCTTGACATACTAGATAATTCGTTAGGAAATAAGATGCAGTGTGCCATAAAAAATAATTTTATGAAAATAATATTTAGACGTCAATTCATGAGAAATGTGAATTTATTGTGCAAACATATAAAAAAAATATTGTTTTGGTGATATATTTCATGATCGCAATGCCATATGAAAATTTAGCTTATGAAAATAAATGCATTCGGAAATAATTTATGAAAGATATATTTTGACAATGCTTATGCAAGTAGGACCGCTCGGGTCGAAATAAATTAAATGTCATTTTGAGGAAGGATTAACTTCAATATCCTATTTGAGTGCGGATTGACCCGATATATCCTATTTGAGGGCGGATGGACCCGATATATCCTATTTGAGGGCGGATGGACCCGATATATCCTGTTTGAGGGCGGATGGACCCGATATATCATGTTTGAGGGCGGATAGACCTGATATGTCCTATTTGAAGGTGGACAAGCCTCACATATGGTGCTTGATTTGCAATTAGAAAGATTGATGTGGTGCGCAGAGCTTGATATGCTGCCCATTTTGTAATGGTAATTCATGGGGCGATGCAAAAATCATTGTGAGATGATTTTGTTGGAGTGAATATCCATGATGCGGAGAGCTTGATGTAGTGTCTTTACAGGAAAATATTCCAGGAGCGGTGCCCATAATTTAGGAATTTGCATGCTGAAGTTTATTGTTAGTAAATTCCTGCACTCAAAGAAAACTACGAGTTTCAAGATATAATTTGCGATATCTTGAAATGCAATGTGTTATAAAGTAATCTTATGAAAATGACACATTTTGGGTGTTTACTTATACAATGCGGCCTCGCATGCCAAAATGATTTGATGAAAATGTAGCTTTCTGCCAGTAATGATTTTCGGCAAAAACATGCAGGTTATAATTGTGCTTGGCAATGATTTGTGATAATGATGCATTTCAGTAATGACAATAAAAGCGTGACCATCTAGGTTGAAATAAATTAATGAAAAACATTTGAGTAGGTGCTAAAGTGTCTTGTTGTTCAGGCGGACAACCTTATGTCCCATTAATTAGGCGGACTTCCTTAATATCCTATTATTAGGTGGACAACCTTGTGCCCAATTAATTAGACGGACATCCTAATGTCCTATTAATCAGGTGGACTACCTCATGTCCTATTATCAGGCAGACGACCTCATGTCCTATTATCAGGCGGACTACCTTATGTCTTATTAATCAGGCGGACGACCTCATGTCCTATTAATCAGGCGGACGACCTCGTGTCCTATTAATCAGGCGGACTACCTTATGTCCTATTATCAGGCGGACAACCTTATGTCCTATTATCAGGCGGACAACTTCATGTCCTATTAATCAGACGGACGACCTCATATCCTATTATCAGGCGGACGACCTTATATCCTATTATCAGGCGGACGACCTCATGTCCTGTTATTCAGGCGGACGACCTCGTATCCTATTAATCAGGCGGACAACCTCATATCCTATTAATCAGGTGGACGACCTTTTTGTCCTATTATTAGGTGGACGAACCTAGATGCATGTCTCTTGATTTGCAATTTCAAATATTGGTGCGGTGCAGAAGCTTGGTACGATGCTTGATTTGTAGTCTTGGAATTCATAATGCGGTGTAAAGAGCTTGGTGTAATTTCTTTGAAGTAACACATATTGATGGTACAATGCAGAGAGCTAGGTACGACGCTTTTGCAATAGCGAATGGTGCGGTCCATAGAACTTGATGCAATGCCTTTGTATTAAAGAAATTCCTAGTGCAACGCCAACAATTGTTGGAGCTTCAAAATAAATTTTTGTAATTAATAAATTCCTGCACTCAAAGAAAAATTATAAGTTTCAAAGTTTGATTTGCTCTTGCTTGGCTTCATCTTTTGCTTTGCATGAACCTTGCGACTTTTGACTTGATGTCGAGCTTTGCGATAGCATGTAATGTTCAAGAATAGCTAAAATATGCCCCTGCATTACTCAAAGCAAATTTGTTAGTATAAAATAAAGTGGTTGCCTTGCATTGAACGCCAAAGTTTGGCTTTGAATCTGTAACTTGTTGTCATGGCATTCTGGAATTTGTTGTTGTGCTTGTAACAAATATGTAGCTCGAGATTTCATTTTCTGCTTTGACGAATGATGAGGATCCTTCTGCAAAATTTGCCCCGATTTTAGCTTTTAGGGTAAATAGGATTTTTATTATGATGAGACCGAACCCATAAGGCTGCCTACATACCCCTCTTAAACGGGAATCAGGTCAAAACGTAGTTCATTTATAAAAGCAAGGCATAATTACAAAAAATAGTTACTCATATGATGATAGTTGCAAAATGATAATTCCATCAATGCAAGGTGAACTAGTCCAAACGACGTTTCTTCTTCGGATGGCCAACCACGCTCGGTATATTACTTGTGCTGCGGCTAATTGCATTTGAGATATTTGTTCCAACTGGTAGGTGCACTTGTAGTTTGTTAACATCAATTAAATTCTGAATCTTATGTTTTAATGCTAGGCATTCTTCTGTATCATGACCATGAGCATTTGAATGATAAACACAATACTTTGACAGGTCGAATAATGGATGTGAAGTGTAAAAAAATCCTTCCTTTTCTTGGTTGCATAATTCCTGAGGCATTCAATCGAGCGAATATGCTAGAAATTGGTTCACTCAGAGGTGTAAAGTCGCAGGGCTTTCTTTTCTTTAATTGATATTGAATACTTTGTTGGCGATGAGGCTGGAGATGCATGTCGTGGGCGTTAGAAATGGCATGATTTTGCAAAAGCTGGTGATTCTGATGGCATTCTAGTTGATGCATATTCATGGCAACTGCGGCATTTTGCTTCTCTTTACTTTTCCGATTTTTCAGCGTCTTAGGTTGTAAAGCATGAATGATAGTTTGCATGCTAACCTTTCCTTCTTTGATGCCACTTTCTAGAAAGTCCCCGACTCTAATCAAGTTACGTACGTTCGCAGTAGCCAGCTTTTCATAGTATATGCCATTTTGAATGTTAATGAAGATTGAGATCAACTCTTTCTCGGATAGCAGAGGGTGCACCTTCGAAGCTTCAACTCTCCACCGGATTGCATAATCCTGAAAAGATTCATGTGGCATTTTATCTATTTTGTACAGGCTATGCATGTTTGGATCAGCTCCAAGGTTGAACTCATATTGCTTTACAAAATCGTGAGTCATGGCATCCCACGTGTGCCATTTGCTAAAATTTGTTTTGTGTACCAAACAAGTGCAGGTCCTGATAAGCTTTGAATAAATAATTTCATCCGAATGGACTCGTTGTGTCCTATGCCAATTAACCTGCTACAATAGTCTTTCAAATGAGCAATGTGATTTCCCTTCCCGTTGAAAGTATTAAATTTTGGCATCTGGTACCCTGGTGGGAGTTCTACATCTGGTTGCAGGCATAAGTCTTCATATCGTAGACTTTGGTAATTTCTTGATTGAAATTCTTCTCCAATGACTTTCTTTAAATCACGGAGTTTTTATCCAAATCTTTACGGCAAATTTGCTGGATTTATTTTCCACGTCTCTTATGAGGGCATACTGTTAGTTGGTTTTGCTTGCTTTCTTCAAATAGAGTTGTGGTTATGAAAACTTATGAGGGCATACTGTTAGTTGGTTTTGCTTGCTTTCTTCAAATAGAGTTGTGGTTATGAAAACTTATGAGGGCATACTGTTAGTTGGTTTTGCTTGCTTTCTTCAAATAGAGTTGTGGTTATGAAAACTTATGAGGGCATACTGTTAGTTGGTTTTGCTTGCTTTCTTCAAATAGAGTTGTGGTTATGAGAGACATTTTCATGACTTGATTGAGGTTGCAGGTTGATGGAACTTGTGTAGAGATTGCATAAGTAGGAGCTGGGCAAGGAGATATGGTTAAGCAGATATTTCGGTTTGAGAAGTGGAGGTTGTATTTGGAAGAAGGTTAAAAGTGCTTCCCAGATTAACCAACATGTTCCTTTGCACCACATTCACCTTGGTGCCATCATTCTGTGATTGCAATTGTCCCATACCGGTATTGAATTCTTCAAAACGGTCTGCCATTATAGCCCGTCCTTTATGTAGATACGCAGTCAAAACAATGTTCAATGCTAGGCAACCTTTAAAGGAAAAATAAAACTTTACAAAATAAAAGTAAAGTGTTAGCGTATTTATCATAATCAAATAAATGCACAAAGTAATAAAGTATGTAATTAGATAGATTAATTCATGATATGGTTAAGCAGGAGTCCTAAACTGGAAATGATGGCCTAAGTTGCAAAATGGATGAACAAGAATGGCTTGTTATCTAGAGGGCTCTAACGCACGAGACTTGTTGACATGGAAGCAGAATGATTTGAAGTTTTTTGAAGGGCTGACTTATGTCCAACATCAAAGCTTTAGCTCTATCATAGGTTCTTGTCCTTACATGGCTTTGAAATTTTCAAAAATTGCCCCAATCTTTAGGAATCTTTTTATTATTACTCCATGGCTTGATGTCCCTTTCGAGCATATCAACCCGCGTGCTAAAAATCTGCCCCAGTTTTTTGCTATAATGAGACTAAGCCTTACATAGGTTGCATGCGCATCCAAAATAAGGGAAGGTGGGTGGGGAATGATAATCTTTCAATTTTTTGTTATCTTGTTAATCATGCTTCTTCTTCATACACATTGTTGGCAGCTTAGAATGCCCTTTCTAGCAAGAAAGAGTGCAGATTTGGAAAAACTAGGCATTACACTCATAAGTGGGAGATGCAGCTGTACGAAATGGAGATGCCTTTTTCGTTGAACGGGTTCTTAAGATCATCTATCACTTCCTTGACGCCATTAATTTCTTGCCCCATTTGCCACTTTTGCTTCAAGCCTAGCAATCTTATCTTTGTATGATTTGTATTTCTTGTACTCAAACTCATCTGCATCTAGGTCAATCACTGTGATTTGGTTGGCCATATTGTCCTTGAACTTGTGTTGCTTTGATGTTCAACTCAAGTCAATTTCTTTTGGAAAAAGGTATATATAGTCACTATGGAGTAGATAAATATTAAAGGATAATGGTAGAATATTTGGGAATGTATGCCTAAGAAACCGACGAGATCGGGTCTTGTAATATTACAATGTCTAAGAGAGGCCAAAGATGTGAGATTTTAATTAAAAAAAAATAATTTGCTGGTATTTGGATATAAGGATATGGTAGTCAATTGACATGAAAATACTCTAATTTTTTTTAGCATTGGCAAGTCATAAAGTTATCGAGGCCTGGGAATACGGTGCCAACCGTTTTGAAACTTTACGGGATACTACCTCGACTCACGTGCCAAAACATAGAATTAACGGGCACGTGAAAATCAATCTCGACAACCTGAAATAAGACGACACATACACTTGAATTGAATAGGTAAAAAATTTAGAATAATTCAACAATGCAAATTGACCAAATAGTGGTGTTCCAATGCTTGGTAGATTATGCAAGTTTGGACATCTACCCACTTGTAAATGTGTGTTGGCACGAAGGTTGAAGTACTAAGAGATATGAAGCTATGAAACGAATATTGAAGATACAAGATTACGCCGAAATTGGAAAACTTAAGAAAGAATTGAAAATTATGTAAGGAACGAATGGCAATATTTTTTTAAAAAGAAATATGTAACTACATTTTTGAGAAAAGAACGCGAATAAAATCAACTCGGGAAATTAGATGGGAAAAATATTTTCTAATTATGAAATATTACGCCAATTTTCTTTTTAAGAAGTAGGAATTATATCTTGCTATAGGGAGTGAGATGCTCATTGTTGTCTAAAGAAAATTCTTAATGCTAGTTTAAGGCACGAATATCGATGAATTTTTATGACGACTGAGCTTATTGAAGTGTTTGCGGGCAGAAATGCCTTATAAATAATAGAAGATCATGCCCAAAGACTAAAAAGGTATATTAATTAGACTCTAAGAATTGGAGTGGACCTAAGAAAAATTTGGGCCTAAGTAAATACCTAATTTGTGCTCTAGAGTCGTCAAAGAATAAAACATGGTTTGGCCAGCATATTAATCATGTTTAAGAATTTAAAATAAAAGAAAAAGGAGAAAGTGTTGACCTCTATCGGAGCAGTAAACTAGGGCGGCTGTCTAGCATTTACTCCTTTCTCACCGAAGCCGAAGTTTTATGAAACTAAAACTAAAAGCAAAGAGGGGCTAAAGCTTTTATGAAATTTCTAGCTAAACGAATAGTAAAATTTGAGGGGTAAAGTTGTGGCCTCCAACCTCTATCCAGATGGACTCCAAGTGCTAGTGTTTATACGTGAAAATCTAGGGTTCTTGATTTGGGTTTGAAATTCAGATTTCCCCCAAAAGAGGTGAAATGGAGTCGTTTGAATTTTAACGTTGGGGATTCTGGACGAACTCAGCAGAGCTTTTTGATTTTTTGCAGAGAGTTACCCCAAAATGGTAAGGCTTCTCTTGTAGCCTTCAAAATTTGGGATGTTGTGCAGCAAGAAAAGGGAAAGATGGAGAACCTCCATGTGAGCAAAGAGGAAAAAAGAAGGTCTGCTAATTCAGACTTCTGGGAGTGGATTTGAGGCGAGAATTCACTGTAATTAAATGTTGAATTCTTGAGATCCAAAATAAGGAAATATAAAAGATAATTCAATTTCATAGAATGATCTAGAATCTAATATTGGGCTAATGTTTGGGCTGCTTTAACTGTTTAGAGATGGCTTTTGGCCGAATTGGGCCTTCATTTTGGGGCTCAGTTCAGATGGGGCTGATTAGGCAAATCTTTGGGTTGCTGAATTGAATACTTGGGCTTATGAGTAGGCCAAAATAAAATGATGTTCTCCCATCTTTAAATTTAATTCTTTGAGTTTTTAATTTATTCCAAAATATCTTCTTACCTACATTATATAATAAGATGTAAATATGCCTTAATAAAATTATTAGCATTTGTAGAAAAATAGTAGACTAATTGTTAAGTAAAATTTATAATACCATTAGAGCAAATATATATAAACGGTAGGATTAGGGAAAATATTACTATTTGGTTGAATAAAAGAAATGATATGCTTTTCGCAAAAGACAATAAAAGTTATAATTAGAATGCCAAATATAATAATAATAATAATAATAATAATAATAATAATAATAATAATAATAATAATAATAATAATAATAATAATAATAATAATAATAGTGATAGTGATATTAAGTAAATAATAATAATTAGGTCTAGTTTGTGCTAAAAATGGTAAAATATCTATTCTTATATTATTAGTGATATTAGAAGCTTAAAGAAATAGTTTGGAAGAAAGGAGAGACAAAATTGGATGTCAACAATTAGAACTGTGAGAACCATGACCCGATGACGCCACACGATAACCTGGGTGAGCTGGCTGAGCATGCCTGAATGGACAGCCTCTATCGTGCTGAAACTGACCTCTCAAGGGAGCACCACCATAACTACCAGATCCTCAAGGCCTCTTGATCTCCCTCTCATCTCGCTTCTAGTGATGAACTGACTCAATCTCACGAGCAATGTCTACAACCTCCTCAAAAGTAGCACCAGACACTCTCTCCCTGGTCATGAGAGTACGAAGCTGATAAGTGAGGCCATCCACAAACCTCCTAATCCTCTCTCTATCTGTCAGAACCAACCAAATTGCATGACGAGCTAACTCTGAGAACCTCATCTCATACTGCGTCACGGTCATCTCTCCCTGACGCAACCACTCGAACTGCCTGTGCAACTCCTCTCTTGGTGCCTAAGCTGGTGCTGCTGGGACATCCACAACCGGGACCTGATCTAGAACTGGGGCGGCTGGTGGATCTGCAGGTGCTGCCCTAGCTACTGTGCGGGCCACACCCCTACCCCTACTGTGACTATGACCGCGTCCTCGGCCTCTAGTGGCCACAATTGGTGGTATAGGTGGTCGTCCATACTGACCGGTAGTGCGTGTCCTCACCATCTGTGAGAGAATAGAATAGCAAAAGTTTAGTACTCGGATCAACATATTCGCACGACAAGAATTTCAAGAATATGAAATCTTTTTTCCTAAAGGTTCTGCAGCCTCTCGAGGATAAATACAGACGTCTCCGTACCAATCCGCGAGACTCTACTAAACCTGCTCATGACTCGTGAGACCTATATAACCTAGGCTCTGATACCAACTTGTCACAACCCTAAACCCAGACCCGGTCAAGATGGCACCTCTCGTGAAGACAAGGCCAGCCGACACAAACCCCCGATAAAATTTAAAAAAACAATTCATAATTAAGTCATTAATAATAATAAATCCCATAATATAGTGAAATATATCAAACATGAAAAAACCAAACACAGCCCGACATCGGGGTGTCACTAGTCATGAGCATCTAACATAGTCTAAGAGTATGAAAGATTTTATACAATCTATTACATAACTAGGACAAGAAAATAAAATAGGAGGGAGAAACACTAAGATGCGAACACCAAACAGCTACCTATTGGACTCCGAATAGCCTACTGAGCAATCAACCCTCACTGGCGGAACCTGAAGCTCCTGAATCTGCACACAGGGTGCATAATAATAAATGAAGATTGAGCGATAAGAAATCACGTAAAAACACAACAACATGCTATAAAGAGGCATTGTAAAACCAATAAGATGCAATAAAACAGTGAAATCTTATAAAAATACCTTGGTTCAGAATAAGCTTCTTTGAATCACCTTTTCAACAGTTAAAACAAGTAAATGAAAATCAGCTAGAAAAGGATAAACACATAAAATCCGCCCCTCGGGCATAATTGTCAACAGAATCAACCCCTCGGGCATAATTGTCAACAGAATCAGCCCCTCGGGCAATACCATGGAACAACACCAGCCCCTCGGGTTATATCTCATATCACAATGAGTACCTGCGCTCACTGGGAGTGTACAGACTCCGGGAGGGGCCCCTTATGAACCAAGCACAATATCAAGCCATCTCATGGCATAATCATTAGGCTCTCGGCCTCATCTCAAGCCACCTTGTGGCGCACAACTCAGGCCCTCGGCCTTATAATCATGAATCAGCTCAATACCGCTATGGCGTGCAGCCCAATCCCATAATAACCTCACAACAGAGGCCCTCGGTCCTACTCAGTCAGAAATCTCTAAAAGCCACTCGAGCACAGTAAAATATAATGCTCAACCTAAAATATCATTTAAAGTGTTAAAAACAGAGTAAACATGACTGAGTTATGAAAACAATATAATATAGCATGACTGAGTACAGATATAAAAATCAAAACAATGAGAAAATAGCATTAAAAATCCCCTAAGGGTCCAAATAGTTGGCACGATGCCCAAATATGGCATGCAACCCAAAACATGATGATAGCAAATAGTTTTCAACAAAATACGAGGTAAAACAGTCATTCGGGATGGACTAAGTCACAATCCCTAATGGTGCACGACCCCACGCTCATTATCCAGCGTGTGCGTCACCTCAATATAGCGCAACGATGTGAAATTCGGGGTTTCATACCCTCAGGAAAATATTTACAATCATTACTCACCTCTATCCGATCTGAACTCTAGCCCGCAATGCCCTTGCCTCTGGAATCGGCCCCCAGATGCTCCAAATCTAACCAAAATCAGTGCAAAACCATTAAAATATGCTAAGACAACAAGGCCAACTCGAAAGAAATCAAATTACAACACAAATTCCAAAATTGGCCAAACTCGACCCCCGGGCCCACGTCTCGAATTCCGATAAAAATTACATCAATACCCCAAGTTCATTCATATCAAAATCACCAAAATCCAACCACAAATGATTCCTAAAATTCCTAATTTTAGGTCTCTAATTACAAGCCCTAGTTCTTCAACATTAGGCTTAAATTCCATGATTAATTAGGTAGAAAACACATTAGGATTGAGTATTAAGTCCATAAATCTTACCTCCAAGTGTTCCCCCTTGATTCCCTCTTCAATTCTCTTCAAAAAGCTTCAAAATCGCCCAAAAATGGAGGAACTTAGACCCAAAATTATGGAAATGAGTCTTTTAAACATTCTGCCCAGGCATTCAAATCCTTTTTCGCAAACGCGGTCAAACCCTCGCGTTCACGAAGCACAAACTTAGGTTGACCAGAATTTCCTCTTACGCGAACGCGATCACCCCTCGCGAACGCGATGCCTCAGCACTCAAACCTTCGCGGACGCGGCATCAACCTCGCGAACACGATGACCAACGAGCTCAACCCTTCGCGATCACAAAATTGGCCTTCGCGAATGCGAAGGCCAATTTCACAGCCTCCCAGCCTAATCCTTCGCGAAACCGAGGGCCCACTCGCAAACGCGAAGGCCAATTGTCTGCAGCACCCAACAGTAGATTTCTGCAATCTTTTTTCTACATAAAATGCTCCGTTCAACCACCCAAAACACATCCAAGGCCCTTGGGACCTCAACCAAACATGCCAACATATCCCATAACATCATTCAAACTTGTTTCAACCTTCGGAACGCTCAAAACAACATCAAAACACCAAATTCGCATCGGATTCAAGCCTAAGAATTCCAAAATCTTCTAAATTTCGCTTTCGATCAAAAAGTCTATCAAACCATGACTGAATGACCTGAAATTTTGTACACACATCCCAAATGACACAACGGACCTACTACAACTTCCGGAATTCCATTCCGACCTCTATATCAAAATCTCACCTATCAACCGGAAAATGCCAAAATTTCAGTTTCGTCAATTCAAGCCTAAATCTACTCCATACCTCCAAAACACATTCCGATCACGCTCCTATGACTTTTTATGTGTTTTATTTATTGGCAGTACACGAAAGTGTTGGAATGAGGCTTTATTGGATAAGAGACTTATTATCGATATTCGGTTGTTCTGAGCAGCTGCTGTGATCAGACGTTATCGCTACAAGAGTTTGAGCTATGTGGTATATCATGTAATTACATCTGAGGTTGCAGGTATGGCTTGTTACAGCTAGTTCGGGCTTATTCAGGGTATAGCTGTGAGATTCTGATCTTGTGGATGATTTTAGAAGTGGAAATGTGGTTTTAAGGTTTATGGGCGAGGTTGGATTGCGAAATTTCAGTTACATTGTGTTATTGGACCTATATGAGATAGGGTGACGTGGGATCACCCCCGGGTATCTACATGGTAAGGTTATACAGTGACTTGCTGGCTTTTGGAACAACCATGGGCACGTTCGAGGACAAACGTATGTTTAAGTGGGGGAGGATGTAACGACCCGACCTGTCGTTTGGAGCTTTTGCACTTCGCTTGCCAGTTCTCGAGCATGAGTAGCCCCATGTGATGTATTATGACTTATGTAAATCATCGGTTTTGTTTTTCAGGGTAATCAGAATGGATTTGGAAGAACAGTTCTCAGTTTGAAGCTTAAAATTTGAAAGATTTAACCAAGTTTTGACTTTTTAGTATTCGATCTTAGATTTGGATTTTTATGATTTGATTCGCTCCGTGAGGTAATTTTGGACTTGGGAGCGCGTCCGGAATGTATTTTTGGAGGTCCGTGGTAGATTTAAGCTTGAATTGATGAAATTAGAATTTTGGCATTTTCCGGTTGGTAGTGAAATTTTGATATCGGGGTCGGAATAGAATTCTGGAAATT